TCGTCAGAAGTCCAGATGCCTCTTCTGTTGTTAATCACGGCAAAATTGGAACTGACGTGAACCGGAAGGCCTGTCTTCATTGACAGGGGAAGAAAGCAAAACATTTCCCCTTTTATCTTTTGCGCTCTATAGCAGCCTTCATTACTAAGGGGAGAGAGAAAGCATGCAACTGACGCAGTGGAATATTTCTGGAGTACAGTTTGGCTACTTGTTTCCACTAGCCAGTATTCAGTCGTGTCGGCTGAGCCGTTGACTGAGCAAGTGATTGAGTGTATACATCTGCCTTCAGCCAAAGTTTCTGTATTCTTTGTGATTCTCATCAATTCTCTCGGCTGCTTCTGCCCACGGTTTACTTGAGAAAATGTGATGGAGTCTATATTCTGAAGAAACAGCAAGAGCTTCGAATTCGACTTCTGCATCTGTTCCATGAGCTGTTTTATGTCATGATCCGTGTAAATTTTCTCACTCAATTCACTTACTGTCGTTCGGAAAGGGAAGCGAAATGTTGTTCCTTTGTACTGGACCCCAGGATCAAAGTCAAATAGTCCTACATATGGTTCCAGTTGTTTAGACCGACTGATGAATGGTGATGTAAAGCAGAGTTTCTTTCCTGGTCTCGCTGGATTCTTTATTTCATTCTTGAGGTATTTCAGCGTCGGATCAAATATGTACAAAAGGTCGCTGCTGACAAATGAAGGGACATCAGTGATGTGGTACACAGAGCAGAAGCCTATGCCAAACTTTCCAATTTTCAAGGATTGCCCCTCCTTTGTAGCTCCTGCTAGTTTGGTGATGTTCACAAAGTCTTCTTCTGTGAACATGGCATTGTTGTTAACAACCAATGCAGGTCCATGACACTCAACCATTCCAGGGAAGAACAGGCCCCTGCGCTTGTCCGTGTGGCATCGTTTGTCATAGCAGATATTCATTTCTGTAGCTCCGGCATCATCAGCGTTTTGAAGTAGTTCTTTGATGATTGTGAGACCGTCCTTACAGTCCTTCAGAATATTTCTGAGTCGGACTGTAAGCGGCTCACTTTGACCGTCATCTTGAGACTGGCTCAGTGGGGTCAACTGCAACTGGTATGCCATCTGAGGAGTGACTCGGTTATGAACAAAAGTATAGTTATTCTCGGAGTGCTCTAAGTAGTCTTTGAGAAAGTTATTGTCGGTGTAAACCACACCTTCTGCTGCAACCAGCTGAGGCCATGTTTCATCGGATTGTACCGGGACAAGAGATCTTCTAAGTCAATATCGACAATTTCACCTTCCTCGCTCTCCGTTAGCCAGTGTAGTATGGCCATAACCAACTGCCAGGCTTGTTCACTACTGATACCAAGACTATGGGAGTCTCCTTCTTTGATTGCTGGGAGGATTCCCAGGATCTGTTCTCTAGTGACCATCTCCTGGACACCGAGATCCGTGAACAGGCACTCAAACTGGGCCAGATCGTCTGGAAGGATGTAGATGAAGGGCTCCAGATTGTGCCTGAATTCAGGGTTTTGAGTAAGTGCAACCTTGTGTGGGTGTACAAATTTCCTTTGTCGAGTCAACCACACACAATCTTGAGTTTCCTCCAGTTGTGAGAGGTCTGCGGTGTGACCTTCACTACTGTAATTGGTCAGCCACACGTAGATAGTGTGCATGACATTTCTGATTTCTTCAGTTTTGCTAAATTGCTCGCAGCTCAAAATAACCGTCTCCAAATGAGCCATTATGTGCCTTACCATGTCTTCAGGTGAAGGCTCAAAAGCTTTGCATATGGTGTTCGGTAGAGAGTGCTCGACAAGGTACATCTGTGAGCCACAGGCAAGGGCAAGGGACGTCTGCTCCTTGTGCAAGAGGACTGAAGACCAAAAGGAGACGAAATGGGAATCGCACCCACTACCTTTCCAGGTCAGGCACGACGGGTACTTTCTTGGAGGAGACAACTGAACTGGCAACCAGCACTTGGTGACTGACAGCTCTCTCAGTGCTTGTGAGAACTGTAGGCTTCGCTGGTGGGATGCCGCGAGTGTGCTACAATGTACACATTCTCATTGAGCTCATGTTCCCACCGCTTTATGTACTTTAGAACAGCTTTTTCTCGGGTACGCCTCACCTCATCGGCTCTCACAGGATCATTACTACCGGGATATCCGATACTGCTGATGATGTCAACAATTTCTTGTTTGGACACAAAGGTCTTAAGTCCGCACAATTTAAGAATCTTGACGTATTTACCCCTGCAAATGGGTCCAATGGAAATACCGACTCTTGGAAAAAGAGGTTTGAAAGCTCGGGGTCTAAGGGAGTGTATAGGACATTGGGTGTCTTTGGCTTTCCACCAGATACTGGGACAAATGGAAGTGTTGCTATTGCCTGTTGCAATCCCTCTACACTACGATGACCAATGCTCGACGTGATCACATTGTATTTTTCTAACACTTCTTTCATTATCTTCTTTGCTGCATTTCTCCCCAGTGCCCCTCGCTCAATCTCGGGAAAATGAGACTCGTGAGGACGTCAACTGTTGTTGTGCAATGCACAGAGAGGTTTTGCAATAGTGGCTTTTGGTAAGAGCCTGACCCTGAGAAAAGCACAACACTTTGGGGGAGATTTTCCGTGCTCAGCGGGAAACTTGGAGGCTCGATCTGAGCCCTCTTCCAGTGGACCTTTCTACTTGTGCCACTGAAGAAAGCTTGTTTTGTAGTGTACAGAACATTGGTATCTCCTTCAGTATAGCTTGCTGTTGGTAGTTTAGGCCTCTGGTGTCATGCACTTGCATGATAAGCTCGGCAGCCTCATCCCTGGTGAATGAGATGCTGTGGTATGACGGTGATGCAGCCTGTATTGCACCTATAATTCCTTCCGGAGAAAACATATTCATCACTGGGTCAATGTTTCTATGGTGTACAAATGGATGCCTTTTCTGTAGGCAACACTCTACACCCAATTTCTGCAGAGCACTGATAAGAGGATTGTCGTAGTTCTGAGTACTACTGGGAATAAATAAAGCTGCTGACGCCTTACTGAGTCTCACTACGGTAGACTCACCTACCGGTACTAGCGGAAGGTTTTGAAACAGATGCAAGCTTCCCCCAGGTATCCAGTGCCACAGTCGTTCCAACCACTGCATATCAAACTTTGAGTAAGGCAGAACAAGCTTGTTTTGGTTCAGCAGAACCCTTGTAAGTAAACTGGCTACACTGTGCACAGTGAGGACATGAAGGTTACTGTTGTACACTCCCCTGGCTATGGTATTCAACTTTGCATAAATGTGGGGGTCAATACTATCATCCACTAATTCTCCTTCGAGAGAGGGAAGAAGGTGCCTTGGGCACTGTGCTGTGCATAGGTACACTGCACTGTTACGGCAATATGTTCCGAAATACGTAAAGTTCCATTAGCAAGTGGCAACAGTGCTAGGTTTTGCATGTCCTTGTATAGGTCATCTGCTAGACAGTATTGAAGCAACTCTAGCTTCTGTTCTGTGGAGAGCCAAGTGTAGCCACCAGGTGTTTTTCGCAACTCAGCTCTAGCCATAGAAGGTGAAACAGTCGCATAGGCAATGTTGGAGAACTTCAAAGCATTGCAAATTCGATCTTTTACAGTTACCAGCTTCACTCCACAGGCTACTAGGGCACTTATCACTGCTGCGTGTAGCGTTACTCCTCTGGGAACAAAGATAGCTGAGCTGACCTTAATCCATGTATGGACCCCCTGGTTTTGAGAAAGGAATGACATCACTGGAAAACAGGGTTCTCAGGAGAGGTGAGAGTATTTCTTGCCAGGGTGTTCCCGTCACCTTACTGGTATCAGGCCAGGCTTGGCAGAATGATCAGGCTCTAAAAGAATCTTAGCGTGGTCTAGAAGCAGCATGGCATAGCAGGGAGGCAGGAGCTCTCTGACTAGCAAATGGTTCCACTGAGCTGATGGATCGTTTCGTCGCTCAATAGTTTGCCATTTTAGTTCCCGCCGTTCGTCATTGAGGCTGAATGTACCATTCACATGTACCGGTAAGTTACATGTTACCTCAAGAGGCATTGGCAGAACACAATACACACGCCCTCCACTGCTATCTGCACTTGTTTCTAGTGCCACCCCAACCCATGGGAACACTTTCAACTCTTTTGCTAGTCTTCTTACCTTTTCTGACTGGGATCCCACTTGTGTTGCTACCAGCCACATGCTGGAACCTGTTTTTCGTGTCTGCCAATCATTAACATCGACCTGAACATGCACCACTTCCCTCAACATATCCCTGATACCGTAGGACTGTGTCTCGAAATGCCTCATGAGGTTAGCTTGAAAACATGAATGCGTTTTGACTCAGTTGGCTGAGTGACGAAACTTCAGATATGCCGATATCCAACATTTTTGAATGCTTGCCAGTACTCTCAATTTCAAAGACTTTCACACTGTGAACAGATCTAAGAAAAAGCAAAATGCACTTAGCTTCTTCCTGAAGAGCACCGAGAAGGTTTCGAAGCTTATTTATGTCATACGTATGAGATGACACCCGCTTTGCTCGACTTACATTGCGCAGTGGAAACCGAAAAAGAGTACCATTGTACCTACAGTTTTTAACCGAAAAACCACACAGCCCTTCAAAAGGCGCAAATGTGTCTGAACAGTGTGCATTCTTGTTGATATCATACCACTGTCTAGTCTGCCGAGGCCAGATCTCCTCATGTGGATCAAGGTAGGCCAGTCTGTTCCCACTGACAATGGTGGGCAGGTCTGTAATGAATGTATACACATGTATGTTGAACAGAGAACACACATTCAATGCAGTTTAATACGTTAGGACTATTAATCTCAGTGCTCTGCGAGGGTCATTTTGGACGCATGCGCAGTACGTTCTGGCGAAGCAGGCGACGGCGTGGAGCGGCGCTTTTCTTCAGTTTTCTCAGCGATAGCGGAACCGTCTGACACTGAAACGTCTGGAAACCTCCCGGAGGATGCTGCTCCCCAGCAGCCAGTGGCACTGGTTGCCCAGATTGTGCAACACCTGCTGACAGTTCTCCAGGGCAGGAGCCAGCTGCCCCCTGGAACCGGGTATGCCACCCTTCTCTACTTTCCTATCCCCTTCCACCCAGCGGGTGTGATCAATGGGGTATATGCTAATAATATAGGTGACTGAGGGCCTACAGTAGGCAGCCGCGTGCTAGCGGTCTGGAGTGGCTCTGGAAGCCAGGCGGTGGCTGCAGTGGTGGGGGCCCCCAGGCGAGGCCGATCCGTGTAAGCAGCGAGTAAAGGCAGGTGTCAGGTTCAGCATGGCCCGTGGCGGTGGGGCAGCACGGCCAGGAGTGGTGTGCTGATTGGACTGATAGCAAGGCTTAGGCGCAGGAGGTGCACCGCAGGCCGGCCATTATCCGCTGTGTTCTCATTGCACAGGTGTTCAGTTGCCAGGTTTCCACCAGAGAGCTTGCTCAAGGACACTTGCAGCAGTTTGCCAAAGCAAAAATGCCTGCAGGCGAGGCTGGGAGCACCAAAGAAGCAGCTAATGGTCTGAGTCACTCAGGGACATTGACACCTCAACAGTGACTGTGCAGTCTAAGTTGGTGTCAGTGGGGACGGGCCTCCCCTCGCTGGCCAAAAAGAGCCAGGGGGCATGCTAGGCCACTGCCGAACGCAGAAGATGGCCACATAATAGTCACCCGTGCAGGGACCAGAAAGCTAATTCTGGACCTGGCAACATGGCTTCAATGTTTTGCCGTGTACATTGCAATGGTGACGGAGCATGACCCGGGGCAAACCAAATCACTACTTGCATACCTCTCCACTATAACCAAAGTGAGCGCTAAGTATAGCTTGCCTTCTTGGGTGGTCTACGAGCAAAATTTTCAGCAGGAGGCAGCAGACAGCAGGCGCACAAACTGGTCTAAAGTGGAACCAAGTATATACACCCAATGCTTCACGAATGCCTCGATGAGCAGCGAGAACTTTCCATTGACCATGGCTCCAATGTGTGTACAATGGAGACTGCAGGTTCGGTGATCAGTGCATGCATCTACCAGCACAAGTGTGATTCTTGCGGCAAGACAGGTCACGCAAGTAGCCAATTTCCCGAACAAAAGAAGGGGACCCCTCAGGTCTAGGCTGTACTCTCCATAGTCTAGGCAGAAACATCCTCCGCATTTAGCAGGAAGCTACATGTATGCAGTGTTGTAATGCAGTGTTGCAGTTCGCCTCTCTCACCACGCACTCATTCACATACCCACACTCACACATGCACACACCCTCTGCATGCACCTCAGACAAACACCCCCACCACCCGCCAGCCGAAGGTGCTAGCTAAATGCAGCAGCTGCAGGAGCTAGACAGGTGCAGACCTCTCCATAAGAACGGAATACTGGCCAATCTGGCTCATCTGGAGATCCCCGTAAAGCTGAGCATGTGGAGGTCAGCCTTGACCGCACACCCCGACCAGGATTTCGCTAAGTAAATACTAGACAGTCTGGAGCAGGGGTTCGGGATTGGCTTTCGCTATGACAAAGCAATCCTTCGGCAGGGTGGCCGCAACATGCTTGTTCCAATCGAGAGGTTGTGGACCAATACATAATGTGAGGAACTGCAACTGAATTGACTGGTGAAGCTAACGAAGGAGGAGGTGGCCAGGGCAGGAGTTCATTGTAGCTCAATCGGGATTATCCCAAGAAGGTATGTACGAAACGCGAATTGCAATCAATCATTGGGAGCGATGATCAATCTGTTATTACTAGTGCCGTTGCACTTTGCATTTGAGATCATGCTTACATGTGCAATAGGCAGAAGACACTAACAGTATCATCCTACATTACACAGCTCCAAAACACACCTGTTATGTGATAGACTGAGTCGAAACCAATTCCAAATTTTCCAACTTTAAAAGGGTCTCCCGCTTTTACACTCTGCTGCATGTCCTGAATACTCTGCCAGTCTTTTTCCTGGAACATGGCGTCATTGTAGGAGAGTAGAGACGGTCCCTGGAACTGGCCAAGACTGGGGTGAATCAGTAACTGTGATCCATGCTGACGGCTGTCCAGGTAGAAGTGCACAGTGCTTGCTCCAGCATTATCAGCGTTCTGAATTATCTCCTGTACAATAATGAGTGAAAAGGTTGGGATCTCCTAAACAATGTTGTGGGGATTGTCATATGGTTGGGTCAGACTATATACCATTTCTGCCTCTCCCTTCCACTTACACTGTCATAGTTCTAGCTACCCTATTCTGCGTACCCATAATAGCTATGCACAACACTAAGTTATTGGTGAGCGTGAGCGAATACTCCGTCTGTGTTGTCAGCAAACTAAGCATCGGTCGTCAAAGGTCGTGCATTCACTAGCATTCACCAATGCGCTAATTGGAATTCTTGTACGATTGATGTAACTGTGTCGGACCTCCTCGAGTGCGTTGGTGAATGCTAGTGAATGCATGACTTTCAACGACCTATGCTGACAACACAGATGGAGAATTCGTTTTAAACCACACAGAGAGTTGTAAAAAGATCAAAGTAAGGTACTGTGCTTTTAGCTTGGCTCTAGGGCTCACACTGTGAGTGTGACAGACTCAGCGGTGTTAAGGCATGACCCCAATGAGTAACGTGAAATATCCGCACACGTGAAGATTACGGAGGGCGCACATTCTAATTGACGCATGGTAGCCTCGAGCACACGCGAGTGCAGGGGAAAAGACGGTGATTTTTCTCCCGCTGTCTAGCTCCGTTGATGGACAGCACTCCGGTCTTTCCAGAGCTGAATGACATTATAATGAAGGTGAGAGTAGGTATATTTACATGTATAACACAGCAATTATGTGAATCAAACATCTATGAAGTCGGGGCTGACAATAAGTTTCTCTGTGAAGCGGTGTTGCCGTAGTAGAGTGTTATAGTTTTTATGGCAAGCAATGGTTGGATAGATAGTGCTTACTTTCGTAGTTAGTCAGTTCCAGTCTAATCTCGCTTTTCCTTCGATAAAGCCGTTTTTTAAAAAGTGATAGTAGCTTTTGATGTTGCCGTACTTGACTTTCTGACATTTTGCCTTTCTTGATAGTGGTTCTTACAACGTCCAGGTGCTTCAAGTCATGTTCATAACTTGTCTTTGATCCGAGATAGTCGGAAGATGCTTGCCAACGATTCGGACGTAGTAGTGTGGTCGTGCATGTGCACTGTTTCTGACGTACTAGCCAACGATTCGGACGTAGTAGTTTGGTCGTGCATGTGCACTGTGTCTGACGTACTAGCCGACGATTTGGACGTAGTAGTTGGTCGTGCATGTGCACTGTTTCTGACGTACTAGCCAACGATTCAGACGTAGTAGTTTGGTCGTGCATGTGCACTGTGTCTGACGTAATAGCCGACGGTTTGGACGTAGTCGTTTGGTCGTGCATGTGCACTGCATCACACCCACTGAGGTTATGCGAGAGAGAATCTGACATATTAACCAATAACTCAGTAGTCTGGTCATCGTTCCCTTGTATGTTGCAGAATTGCCGACCGCAGTATTTCCCATGGTGATCATAGAGGCGAATAAAGGGAGTAGGTAGTTGAGTGTTTTCTTCTACAATTCTTTTCTATGCTCCGCTACTTTTTTCGTGTATGTCACTCAGTCTGGTGTCACGGAAATGGCACAATGTTGGTGCCTGAGGTTGACTGACGGCATCATTTCCATCAAAGAATTCGTAGCCATTCCCAGTATGTCTCCACCATGCACCCTCACCTTCTTGAAGATAGTGTGATATACGCTGTATATATAAGATGGGCTTGCCAACTTGCAATTCTCTTCTGAATGAATTCCGTTTTGATTACTGTGTTTTGCTTAGTCCATCTCACCCTCACCGCAGACCGCGCGTGGGAGTGAGGCTGGGAAAGAAGGCGTAGCTAGCTAGCCTACACGTGCGGGCCCGGCGCAGAACCACGCCTTTTTTAATCGCGTGCGTGCGTGCCCATGTAGTCGTCGCCGCGTTCGGACAGTAAGGCAGAACAGAATGATTATTGCTCGGACAAGTGCCGCAAATGCTCGGAAAATGTCTGATGTCCGACTGTAATTTCATGCACTGTAATGGTGTGTGGATGTCTGTTTGTTGTTCCTTGTGCAATCGATTTAGCCTGACCAAATAGACGCCCCTCACATTCCGTATTGCATGATGACAAGCACATGATCCTGTATTGGAGCATGAACAACAATGGCATGCATGTGAGAGCCAAAGAGTTTGCGATGACTAATCTGAGTATTTCCCTCAAACAATTCTGTGCACAGTTCATGATGTAGAAATGTGCTGTTGTAATATGGATTGTGTCGACCTTTTTGCTCCCTTAGCATAGAGCAGTTCCACAGTTATGACTAATGTTTCCATTAGTTTGATTATGACGTCCGGTGCATTTATCTTTTTAAAAGTAATAACAGGTGAATGGCAGTTAGCCTGCAGTCTGAGCCTCGTTTTGTGTTCTTCTGAAGGAGGTCAATATTTAGGTCTTTACATTTCCTTGCTAAGATGCTAGGAAGCGCCTCAAAAACTGAAGATGGCCTTTGATATCATGAAGCGGTTTGCATTCAAGGATGGTGTAATTTTTTAGGTTCAGGGTTGTTATATCTTGCTCTGGGTGATGCAAAAATGTACATGACATTGTAATTGAATACACATACGTACCTGCAATTGCTACTTGTTGTAAGCCTTCAAATGATCTTTGTTTGTGACTCAAGCAGTGTGCTAGATCATCAAATCTTCTTGCATCACATCCACATGTACCACATGGGTAATGTCCTCCCTGCTGAGTCCCCGCTCAAACTGAGCTGCCGGCTTGTATCCATAAAAAACATTAGGTGGTCATTAATTGGAATTACCTTCGATGTGTGTACAGTTCCTTGATACACACAAGCCTGTGAATAAGTGAGGCTTGGTCTTCAATGCATGAACTAGACATGGCAAGAAGATGGATTTCTGGCTCTTCAACAAAAGATTGCACGTTGTGAATTGGTACTTTTCCCATGAGCTCATTCTCTGTCTTGAAAACTGCCCTGTCGTACAAAACTTTCACTGTAATGAGGACATACCCATGTCCTAGAATACTTGAGTGATCATGCCATACCTAGTTCTTTCATTTTTGACAAGCTGCATTCATAAATTCTCTTCTGATAGCATGTCTGGTAATTGCATGTTGCGGGCCTTTATAAACTCATTTTAGTCCATTCGTTCTATCTCTTCATTGCCATGCAGGTGCATTAGTTCTTCATGTTTCTTGATCAATTTTTCACGAATAATGGTCAGAGGTATCTTTCTGCCGTAAGTTCTTTTCGTGTTAGTGTGCCACCACTAGTTGAGTATCTAACTAAAGTATGTGGGTGACATGGTTCACCGAGTGTAAGGGTACCATCCGTTATCATTTTGCTGAAATCCTCCTTGATTTGTGTTACTGTTGAGTGAGTAGGAACTGAAACACCTCCTGTCATTTTTAATTTACGGGCTATAATCCTTGTTTTTTCTCTCCTGTTATCTAAGTTAAACACATCTATGCCATTTTCTTCAGCATATTCCTTTGCCACTTGACCACCATTTCTCCCAGGTATATTATGCTCTCGAGCAAACTCAGACCAATTGATGACTTTTCCTACGGGCCATTCCCTCAAGCTGCCTATAGCACATTCTCCTTGTCACGTGTACCATCCATTATCATTTTGCTGAAATCCTCCTTGATTTGTGTTACTGTTGAGTGAGTAGGAACTGAAACACCTCCTGTCATTTTTAATTTACGGGCTCTAATCCTTGTTTTTTCTCTCCTGTTATCTAAGTTAAACAAATCTATGCCATTTTCTTCAGCATATTCCTTTGCCACTTCACCACCATTTCTCCCAGGTATATTATGCTCTCGAGCAAACTCAGACCAATTGATGACTTTTACTACAGGCCATTCCCTCAACCTACCTAGCACATTCTCCTTGTCACATTTTCAAACTTAGGAGAGTGTTTTCCAACTGATATTGTCCGTGTGCGCTTTGCTTCTGGAGTTTCAAATCCCTGTGAAATCCTAAGGCGTTTGTATGATCTTAGTCCCTCTGACAAGGTATCTAGTGCATCGGTCACACGCATTTATTCATGAATTTGATCCCTATCCTGCTGCTGTATTTTATCTTTTCCTCGCTCAACTTTTGTTGCTTTTTGTTGTACACTCACTAATAGCTGTTAAACACATCTATGCCATTTTCTTTAGCATATTCCTTTGCCACTTGACCACCATTTCTCCCAGGTATATCATGCTCTCGAGCAAACTCAGACCAATTGATGACTTTTCCTACAGGCCATTCCCTCAAGCTGCCTAGCACATTCTCCTTGTCACATTTTCAAACTTAGGAGAGTGTTTTCCAACTGATATTGTCCGTGTGCGCTTTGCTTCTGGAGTTTCAAATCCCTGTGAAATCCTAAGGCGTTTGTATGATCTTAGTGAAAGGCCCTCTGACAAGGTATCTAGTGCATCGGTCACACGCATTAATTTTGTTCATGAATTTGATCCCTATACTGCTGTTGTATTTTATCTTTTCCTCGCTCAACTTTTGTTGCTTTTTGTTGCACACTCACTAATAGCTGTAGTGAATGTTTTGCCAAATGCCTTTTCATAAATAGGCTGTAACTCAGACAGAATGTTGCGTGTTAGCTCTGGTGCCAACATGTCCCTCGACATTACCTCAACTTCCCTAGTGAAGCATGGCTTAGTAGGAGTAAAGGTTGGGCCAGGGAAGGCCAGCTGTAGCTCATACTTAGTTAAAGCACATTCGACAGATGTCTGCAATGTGTGCTTTCTCTTTTCCAGCAGAGTGAGTCCCTTCCAGATGTCAACAGAAAATGTTTCTGTGTAGCATTGGCGGTTTTCAAAGCATTTTATTAGCCTGAATGCACCGAGAATCTATCTGTGAGTGGTTTTTACCTGATCCAGAATCTGAGGATGTTCTTATAGCCACTCGTAAATACCCACAGTTAATCTTCAGGTAGACTGATGCCATATCTGAATATTGTGGTAACTTTCCTACTAACATTGTTCACACATTTTACATGCACATGCAGAGATGACTAAATGTCCAGAACAGAAGTGGAAAAAATCATTATTGGCAAGCGGGAGCGAGCCAACCTAGTCGTCGCAACGGGCCGATTTTTCGATTTATTTATTTAAATACGACCGACCGTCGTCGTTGTCGTATGTCGTGTAAGTGCGCATGCGCGACTTCATTACATACGCACGTGTGTTTATAGTAGTCTGGCAACCATGGATCATCAGTCTACAGAGGATGCCCTTTCGTCGAAGAGAGAGGGAAAGAGAACGTCGTGCCCGTGAGACTTCTGAGCAGAGAGAGGCTAGTGATACGTCGTGATAGGGGAACGGGCAAGGGAACGCCTCGCCGCCGAAACAGCGGAAGAAAGGGAAGCACGACTAGCGAGACGTCGTGTACAAGATAGAGCTAGACGCGCTGCAGAATCAGGGGAAACGGAACAGTTCAGGCTCACACAGCTCCGAAACTACCAGGCAAGACGAATTGCTGCCGAGTCCAGCGGGGAGAGAGAGGCCCGCCGGCAACAGGTACGCAGGAATCAAGAGCAGAGAATTGTTGCTGAGTCCAGCGAGGAGAGAGAGGCCCGCCTATAGCTGGTACGACTTAACCAACAACAACGGATTGCCCCAGAGACTCCACAAGAGACTGAAGCAAGATGTCAGCGTGACCGACAAAGTCACACGCAGCAGGCAAGTACTGCCACTTCAACCCAACGTCAACTTCACCAGCCAATTGTCCAATCAAACTTTGAAGTACTTTCAACACCTGTATACACATTTCTTGGTTGGATTGCTCCCGCTCGCCAACAATGGTTACCATTAAACTAGTAATTATGCTGTGTATTCTGTATTCTCATACTATTATCACTGATCATATTCATCTTCCACTTACAAAGAGGGGGGCTGGCACACTCGTATAATTATTGGCGAGCGGGAGCGAGCTAACCTAGTGGGTCCAACGGCGCGATTTTCTTTATACATACAATATATTTGTAACCGTCGTCGTATGTCGTCCAACTGCGCATACGTACACGCTTCTTTTTATCCGAAAACATTTTTAAATTTTACACACTGCCCCGCTGCCCTATATAACTAAGTAACAAGCTCAGCATCGTCGATTCTGCGATGGATCGTTCTAGAGAAGATGCCCTTCGTCGTCGACGAGAAAGGGAAAGAGAACGTCGTGCCAGTGAGACAAGAGAGGCTTTCTCGACAGCGACTGCATTATAGGGCAACGGGCAAGGCAACGCTTGGCCACGGAAACATCGGAAGAAAGGAAGCACGACTAGCATGAAACAGTGACAGTATCATCACCTCAGGAGATGGACTGAGCTCTCTTTGTACAACTCTATGCATTTGTATGTTATGAACAACTAAACAACTTTTTTGTGCATGTACACAATCGTTAGATCACTCCCACTCGCCAAAAGTGCATTCACCTACTCATAGTTAAAGTAAGTACTATAGTAGTGTTTACATAAGCAGTTTTCACAACTGATGGGAAGCATGATGAGGTTGGACACAGCATTGTTTTATGTTGTCAATTTACCACATTTGCTTTCACCCAGATTCAAACTCTGAGAGTCTAAATCTTCCTGGGGGAGCATGCCCCCACACCCCCCTAGTTGACCAATAGCACCACTCCGATCCTTTTTCTAGCTAGAACACCCATATGTTCTTTACGGGGAAGAAATTGCATACACAATGACGCAATCCTTGCCCTACTCTGCCTATACAGACCCTTTCCTCCCTTCCCCACCCCGGCAGACTAGCATTAGACCTATGGTTATACAACTGGAAACCTTGAATATTTGGCCGTCCGGATATTTATCCAGAATCGTCTGGATGGTAACGTACAGTGGCGGCTGTCGCTGGCCGGAGGTATGTCCGTCGCTACGACCACCCCGGTCCATTGTGTGCGGTGACTTCACGCTGCGTACGTACGTCCTGTCTCAGACACCAATCATGCAGCTGTTGACAACAAAGAGGCAAACTCTCTCCCAACACTACAGGGGAGGGTCAGCAGGATCCCAGTAAACGGCAACAACTACTGTAAAGAGACAGAACGATGCTCGGTCCCCCCCCAGCACACTGTTCATAAACTCAAGGCGCGCATGCGCAGCGAGGGATGGTTTGTAAAACGTGTCCGTTACCAGAGCGAGCGGATCAGGTCGCCAGTGCGATTATGCATATTGGCCTTTTCGCTTGTTTTCAAGGCATATCTCTCGAACGCAGTCGTTTCACGCCTAATAATTTTCAGGCTCGCGTAGTTCTGAAGACGTCGGTATCGCTCACGGGCCACCTGCTGACAGACTGACAGACTGACAGAGACAGACACACACGTACGCACAGAATAACGTAACCCTCGCTGCGCATGCGCGCCGAGGGTTTATTCGACATCTAAGTTTTTATATTTTTTTTCTGAGGAAAAATGATTAGTTAACAGCAAGGAAAATTCGACAGACAAAAAGAAAAAAATTAACAATTAACAATTAAACTAGACCGTCGATGGAAGGGGGAAGGGATGGATGGCGGTGCATCCAGAGGCCCGCATTGCCTCGCCATAGGGCTATTGCTAGACGGCCGAAAAGATGCTTTGTCATGTCAATCGGATCGGTAGAGTTCAGCCGCCGACCCAATGCTCGACCTATTGAACGGATGGTAGCAATGCCATCAGGGCACCAACCTCCTAGTGTCTCCACAACAATAGGGAGGAAGTCCACACCAGCCGCTCGACAGGATGGAAGGTTGGATGTCAGCTTCCTTCGAACGCCAACACTAAGGGCATGGCCAGGAGAAGAAGCAGCCTCAGCCAGAGTTAGCTGCTGCAGTGGCGATATAACACTGACGTCTAGTGCAGCTGGACGCCCACGGCACCAGTTTGGGAGAAGGATGTCGGCTGGACAAGTGCTAAAACCGGGCACCAAACTGGGGGCTTCTTTTGTGGGAGCCAGAGCAGCAGACTGGGCAGCATTGAACAGCACATCCCGAATCGCGTTATGGCGGGCTATACAATCTCCATTGCCCCCACAGCCCACCTGGTGATCCCCAAAGGGGTCAGCTGATCTTCGACATTCTGGGCAGATGTAGGAGCTGCTGTGAAGAGGGACTCCCAGCCAGTATCGCAGACAGCAACGAAACTCCCGGTCGTTGAGATGGAGTCCCAAGTGGGCTGAAGGTACGACATTCAGCCAGACTCCAGCATGGGGCAACCCAGTCGAGAGTACTAGAGCTCGAGAACGTGTGTTGGGGGCGGATGAGAGGAGGTGATGGTGTGCTGCCTCATCTATAGCGTCGGATAGAGAACGCTGGTGGAGAGGGACATCGATGTTGTCAAGGTCAGACCACTCGGGATGGGCAGCAGCGACTGCGAGGGAAGCTAGAGTGGAGTTGGTATGGGGAGAGATGCCTGATTGGTGACCCAGTATTCTCTCCACTATTTGCGAGCTCTGGAGAGAGGAGGCGAGGAAAGCCGCGGAGCGTGGAGGGATGCACTTCGAAGATTGAGGCCACCTAGACTGCTGGGGAGAGATGCCTTGAGCCAAGACCAATCAGACATGGGTCCACCCATAGTAGTCTCCAGGGCATCACGAACAGCATTGTCGAACTCCTCGGCCGCATGACGCGAATGTGGCTGATAGGGCGGGTGCGGAGAATAAAAGAAACCTTGGGGAGGGCAAGACACGAGCGTAGGAGCGAGGTCTCCATCTGTGAGTCAGCGATGTCTCGTAGAGCCTCCAAGGAGGACTTCACCTTCGCAACCCGCCCCCCAAAGACCTCTTCACAATAGGTAGGGGGGCCAATGGGGCAGCCAAGGAGGGTGAAACCACAACGAGTGGTAGGGATGTAGGACGGGAGGGAGGAGAGTGAGGCATCGGATTCCTCAGGGATGAAGAGGAGAGATTTTTCTCGGTTTAGGTGGAGTCCCGCTGAGGGGCCGTCATCCTCGATTATACGGAGTGCAGCCGCCAGGTCCTCGGGAGATCCCATCAGGGTACCGTCGTCGAGGTACCATGCATTCAGAACAAGGCCAGGAACCTCCGGCTTGATGCGTTCAACAACAGGGCGTAGTGCAAGAGAGAACCCTAATGGACCTAGGGGGTCCCCTTGCTGCACCCCACAGCAGCTGTGGATGGTGTTCGAACCCAGGTAGAGAAGAGGTTGGGAGGAGTAACAGAACTCCATCCACGCTGACAGAGAAGGGATGCGCCGCCGAACCTCCACAAACATGGACTCTCTGTTGATGCTGTTGAAAGCGTTGCTGAAATCGAGTAGGAGTGTCCATGCATCTAAAAGTGTATACCGCGCATGCGCAGTCAGCCGAGGGTTTGCACTTCAGTGCTTTTCATACAGCCGACTGCTGTGTGGATCATGGTCACTGATCAACACCATATCTGTTCTACTCTCCTACAATGACGCCATGTTCCAGGCCATGATGTTCCAGGAAAAGGACTGGCAGAGCATCAGAAAGTGTAAAGGCTGATAATCCAAAACTGATTGGGATTGGGTTTATCGGTCTATCACATGACAGGTGTGTGCATAGCATAACTATGAAGGGCAAGATTATGAAAGCTGAACTCTATGTATATATATCCCTATGTGTACTAGCTTTTTTTTAAACTTTTTACCAAAGCCCTTGAAATTGTGCACACATACAATTGTTGGCCAGGATTGTGTGCTACACAATAATTATAGCTAAGGGGAATGTGCAAAATTACCCAGTGGGTGAACTATTGAACTAAGTATTGTATGTCCATTTCTTTCCAACACCACAAGCGTCACTGAATGCCAATCAACTTGATGTGATGTAGCAATGTGTGTTGCACGAAAATGCATTATGAGTCAAATTCGGTCTCAGTCAAAGTATGGTGCTATAGCCCACAGCCTGACATGAGGAAATGTGACATTTTACGATGTCAGCACACTATCAGTAACCTATAATATACTCCCATATAGTAACTTGCCCACCATTGTCAGTGGGCCCATAGCATCCATGCAGATATCTGGCACAGAAAGAGGGGAAGATGGTATAAGTTTGAAAGAACGCACAATGTTCATACACGTTTACCCCATTTGAAGGAATCTGCCGTTCCTCAGCTCAAAATTGTGGAAATAAAAGTACACTTGTTGCTTTCCACTATGCCGTACACCACGAGAAGAACATGTGTCATCCCGATACGTATGATAATAGAGAAGCTCCGCAATCTGCTCGTTGTCCTTAAAGGATCCTTTCTTCGCTCTGTGCACACTGTACAGGTGTTTCGTATTGGGGAGAATGGCACACATTCAAAATACTAAAAATCGACATTTCTGCAATTTCAAATGATGATGTCGGTGAAAAACGCTCCAAGTTTAAATCTCGCCTCCAACCCAACTTTGATTCTCGGTGATTCAGAATTAGAAACATGCTAACCCAGGTGGTTCATGTAGAAAGTTAATTTTAGGTCTTCCACAAGCTTCAGCAAGTAGCTGGTGGCAAACCAAGTGAGATCCCAGTCGGAGGAGGTTAGCAACGAAGTGGAAAATTTTTGCATGGGTTTGGGTGGCCCTTGAATCTAGTGCAATCGGCAAAGAGCAAACTGGTGGCCGACTGTTTTATGTGCTGCCAATGCCCCCTTACGTAAACTTAAAGGCACCTTTAGTCTCAGTGATGAGCAGTGACAGTTGACACTTTACCAGCCACAGACACATTAATCTGCCCTTAACATCCATAAGTCATATAATATAGAATGTATATTATATAGGGGTGTTAATATGGTTTTCTGCTGAGATACCAATGGTGTCCAAAGTGTTAAAATGGCTAGGTATTTAGCAACAAAAACGATCCTTCAGCTCAGTGGAACCATTTACTAGTCAGAGAGCTCCTACTTCCTTGCTGTACCATGCTGCTTCTAGACTTCTTTAGAGCCCCATCTGTTCTGCCAAGCCTGGCCTTATACTGACAAAGTGAGAAGAACACACTAAGTATATTTTACTATCTCATCTCATGCAAACCCTGTTTTTTAAAAAGATGTCACCCAGTTTTCTAAACGGAGGGATTCTCTACATGGATTAAGGTTAGTTCAGCAGTCTTTGTTCCCAGAGCAGATTTGCTCAATGCTGCAATCAGTGCTTTCAGCCTGTGGAGTAAAGCTCGGAACAGCAATAGACACAATTTGGAATGCCTTAAATTTTCAATATCCAGTGTGCAACTGTTTCACCCTCTCTTGCTAGAAATGAACTAAGGAAGAAACCCGATCGAGAGTTACGCAGAGCTGTCATCAGATCAGAAACTTGAGTTGCTTCAGTACTGTCTATCAAATGATACATATATTTAACGACTTGCATGATTTGGTACTTTACCATTAGTCAGTGGGGGACCAAGATTTTAAACAGGCTCTAGTTCTTCCGTCTGCCGATGGTCAAAATTGTTTGGACTAACCTGACTAAGTTCTATTAGGACGTAAGTAAAAAAAACTCATAATAATTATTTACATGGCATGTATTACAAATTGCACCACAGGGTACTGATTACAATGGAACTAACATAATAGTAATAGCAGAACTGATATCCTATGGATTATACCCCTGAAACTGATATTGTTAAAAAAAGTGGTAGCTAAGTAGTGTTGATAGTGGGTATGATGAGTGCCAGGAGCGACTCTAGTCTCCAGCAGCAGTGACTGTGCGTGGATCCAGGTACATGGGGTTGTTGTGGGGATCCCTGCGAGTGATGTACACAGTGGTCAAATAGTGACACAGGGAACTAGCTATATATAAGATTATGCAACAGCTTGCAGAAAAAATGGGGTTTCTTATGGATCTAATGATAGACATGGTCTGAATTCATAAGTTTTCGAAGATGCAAGTAGGAAAAATGCATCACTGTTTCCTCGCAACTTTTGTTTATCACCAATTTTAAGACCACAGATCATGTATGTCACCAGGTCCTCTACGTTTATTGGAGAGTTCCCCCTGAAGGAAGTTGTGGTCTTAGATGAAGGAAGTGGGGAACAGACATGCAATTGCAAACACAATCAACTTGCATCGACGCTACTGACAGCTTTACCCTCTGAAGGTGCTTCTTTTCCTCTTGATAGCAGTGACTGGAGTAGCTCTCCATCTGCACCAGAGACAGAGAGCCAGGAGGACAGCCAGAGCCAGGATGATGGCCAGGACTATGGCTATGGGGATGACTATGCAGATGATGCAGATCCCTCCACCACCACCTCCACCAGTCTCTCCTGTGGAAACAGATAACAGGTGGTGAACAAGGTCTTTGATGGTTTTTGGCTACACTAAGATTTTAATCAACCTAATGTTAAGAAAACAGAGAATGTCCGCTATAAAAACTGTGAACCTATTCACTACCCACCCACCTTTGTTTCCCTCCTCGCAGGCATCTCCAATCCCATCCTTATCGCTGTCCTCCTGACCGGGGTTCTGCTCTTCGACACAGTTATCACACACATCTCCCACTCCATCTGAATCAGTGTCCGTTTGGTCTGGATTTTTCACGGTGGGACAGTTATCCTAGAATGGAAAAAGGCTCCATGAGTACGGATTGATATTATTACGCATGTTTACTTCAACTCTGCAGTCGTTGTCTGGATCAGAGCCAATGGGAACACACTCTGTGTCACATACTTTGGTACCTTTTGGACATCCTGTTCATAAGAAAACCAGCAATGACACACACACACACACACACACACACACAAAGCATGCCACAAGCAATTTAGTATGCTGCATATCTCATCAATGTATAATACACAACAGGACTTGGCAGTGGCAAGGAATGTAGGAAGCTAAGCCACCATTACGTATGTGTCTTTAGAATGTTGTTTTCCTAAGAATATTTTGTGTGTGTCAGTGCCTACGTAATTCCTTTTCCTAGATAGCTATGCATGTAATGGGGAAACCACAGTGCCAGTCCCTATTTCTTAGCTTGCCCAAATTGTGGAGTTAAACAGTGTGATACGAGATGCACACAGTTACGTTAGCAAGAAATTTTTGTTCCTGACTTGTACAAATAGTTAATATAAAGTACGTAGTTTCATGGTAGGTACATATGTATAGCTACATAATAATAAACCCTACCGCCACAGGGAAGGTTTATGCAGACTCTCAACTCGGTCAGTTGCCCAGTGCAGTTGAAAAAATCTGCACCATCGGCTTCAACACTAGCAACACGCCTCTTCCTGACTTGTGTCCCCTGGTCGCAAGTCACACTGCAACTTCCCCAGGCTGTCCACTGTGTGAAGACACAGTTTCCTTCCACTCGCTCACCAACTGGAGAACAAGCATAGCAAAACTGCTTGCACTTTATACTAGCTGGACTAGCTAAGAGATAACTGATGTTAGTATAGAGGTTAGGGAGGGTGGAAAAAACACCCATCTTCAATTATACTTACCGCATCTAGGACAACAACTGCCAGGATATTTGACTGGAGCATCACCATTATTGCATTTCACCGGTTGACAGGTTCGTTCTCGCCCGACCAGTCCGGACATCTGCAAGTATAATTACCACTTGATCCACGTATATACAAAACTTCTCTTCTCATTTACCGTGCATTCTTTTACGGTGCAAGGATCGTTCTCGTCAGGTATTTCGCTGCGCAGATCTAATAGAACGGTTTCGCCGTTCACCTGCACACAACACCCCGTGCCGCAAGTCTCCGTCGGCGTCAGGCTCTCCTCCATCAACCTCGCTACATTGTCGTTGTACAGGAGCGGGGCACTGTAGCGGTGACCGGGTCGCACTCCTGAGCCTAGGAACAAGAAAGTTCTAGCTAAGGGGTTTGCCAAACAGGTGTAGATCGCTGTTTCGCAGTTAGCTATAGCTATAGCTACCCACCTTTTCCAGTGCCCAGAAGCACAACGACTAATAGGAGAGATTCAAGTATCATGACGGCTTTCCTCCGTGTGGTGGCTGACTCCAGTACACTGTCCTGTCAACCGCTCCGGCTTCTATATCCAGTTAGCACGTGCGTTTACGATTTATTATAATGCACCGTAGCTGCAAGAATTTTGGCAAAAGTCTCGGTAGATACTCGGAAATTGGCAAGCATTTCCGACATAGCAAATTATTCTCCCACCTTATCTCATCCTCACAACTTGTACGATTCACCTGTAAGGCTGCAACATCCTCCTTGCTTGCGTACGCAAGTGTGCCGCTTTCGGATGCAAACAGGAAGTTCCTACTCCGCACCCCTTGGCAGGCTCCACATTATGAGGACGTGACCTTCATACCCAGGAAACCGTCAGACCACTGTCCATTCAGAACCATGTGAACAGTCATAATCTATAGCCACACTACTCTTAGGTATGCAGTTATGAAGGCAATCATTTGGAACACATGGACTAGTAGTTTAGTGGGAGTCTTGGCACAGGTCTCAGCAGAAGACCAAAACAATTAGGTTCACCTCAACCCACAACAGTAACAATCTCTTTGAAGGTCTAACTCAAAAGCGGGCTTCTTTGGACTGGAATTGACCACACCACATGACCGAACATTATTCTTGCCAATGTACCCCAGTATAGAATTGTAGACATTGTCCTTAAAATCAGGTTCCTCTGCTGACAAAATTTGCATGTAACCTAACCTACTACAGAATGTGTGCAGGTATCGTGGGCAGCATGACGGCTACCATAAAAGCATGTCGTTTGAAATCCTGGCAGCCATTCATTTTATAATGTCAATCACGAACTACCAAATATAGCCGTCTTTTTCTACCGTGGTCTAAGTACGGAGGAATATCCCTGCGTTTACACGTTTAGTGGCCCCCGCTGCAGTGGACACAGCTATAGACAGTGAGTTTCTATAGCTATATATACCAGGGAATGTAAAAGATCTGATCACCTTCTTTCGAGCGTGACAGGAGGCAAAGAGGTTCCGAGGGCATCATATAAATGGGTTTCATTGCGGACTGTATACCAGAGCATGTAGTGAGATGGCAAACTTCATCTTACATCCTGTACGGATGACAAATGGAAATTAGCAGAAAAGGTGATGACGCTCTCCACTTCCATAGTGACATTGCTCTCTCTCTGTTGACTGACGCTGAGCTCGAAGACAAAATATTTTCAGTTCAGTGTGTAAAATCGACTGACTTTGCTCCGACGCATCAGCAATAAGCCATGTGAGCGCAAAACTCCAATGAATCAACATAATATCACATGATCGATGTTAGCATTAAAGTTTTATGATACTCAATATTACTATAGAGTACACAAAAAAAAGCGCATTTCATAGTTCATGAATAGTGTAGAGGTGAGAGGTCAGATCTGTGGCAGTAGAGAGGGTGTGGTCTAGCAGAGTCTGTACTTGTGACCTCGCTGGAATCTCCACAACCTCCAGCAACCTATAATAGATTGACAGCATCAAGACTGCACTGTTGCACATTATCTGTACAAAATGGTTATAGCTACATAGCAAATAACACAACTATAAGGTTTACTGATTAAGTAAACTGTGTAATAAGTAGTTTGCTACGAGCAGCGAGCATAAACCAACGTAATGTGTATAACAGTTGCATGGTGGGTGTGGTTGTGTAGGTATATAGCACGTCCGAAAGTTTTAGCATCGCATGTACCCTTCGTGACACACATGAGCACACAAGATCATTGAAGAGTTACAGAGCAAAATGGAACATATGATTTCATTCAGTGTAGTATGTAGTATACTATTGCTGTATAATACCATAATAACAACTATATACAGGAGGTTAGCAATACAGTCTATATGGGTTTGGTAAAAGATGGACGGGAAAAGTCACTAATAGCAGCGCCTACAGAATCTACTGGGATACGAATTGTCACTATAACCAATATTTTTTTCTTATCTGCTTCAAGTCACTGGATATGAAGCTATTCACAGGTATGCAACACTGCATGGCTTCATGGAGGTGCTTTCCGTTTGCTTGTAGAGTAGAGGAAAGACTTATGGCTGTAAGGATGCACATGATCTATACAGCTAAAAGGCCTAGCTGGCCTTCAAAACACTATAGCTCAGAGGTCCACGTGCATGGTTGTATATGCCAAATTAAGGCACTTGGCTTTTTTTACTACGACTCCTGTTGTGTACATTTGGGCTTGTGCTGGCAATATGGAGCACTTGTGTTTTCACAAGAGAGAGAGAGAGTCACATAGTATATCTATACAAGTGGAAAAATCATTTCTTCAAAATGAAAGGGGGATATAGGGATGGCTTGAAGCACCAAAAAGGAAGAAACAAGGGGTCATCATTACACAGCAAAGTTGCACAAAGCTACATGACACCATCCCTATATCTTTGTTCGATATTAAACTTTGCTTACGAACAATAAAACAAAGATATAGGGATGGTGTCATGTAGCTTTGTGCAACTTTGCTGTGTAATGACCCCTTGTTTCTTCCTTTTTGTGCTTCAAGCCATCCCTATATCCCCCTTTCATTTTGAAGAAATGATTTTTCCACTTGTTTCCACTATCTTTAAAGCTAATGACAACACTGCATTTACTCTGATGTTCAAGGGTATGTTGTAGATATGACAAATTGTAACTGCATGTTAAAAGTAGTAGCTAATGGGGCTGCTAGTGCATGCATAGTAAGCGATATGGTTAACTAAAGAGAGAGGGAAGTCTGAGGACATGGGCTGGTACTCACCCTCGTGCCCACGTCCCTGCAAAACACCGCTACCAAGTCTCAAGACAAACAGGTTATCGAAAAGTGGTCCTATACAAGAAACCGTTGTAGAAACGGTATGATCGACACAAAGCACAAGTTCTTAGCGGATTTTCTTCACAGAATTCTACAAAGGTATCTGTGGAGTAGCTAGGCTACAACAATTTGGTGCGTGGCTTGGCCCACTGTCTACTGCTCATAGCTTGCTGCAGCAATTGGAACCTTGGAATAGCCTGACGTACCTTGGATTGAGTAAAATGGTAGTAGACGGGAGTGGAAAGTCAAGGCCAGATGCTAAACACTTCGAGTCACTGTGCCTAAGTTTTACCCAAGTTTTAGTGGTTCTTTTGTCGTTCCACTATACCATATGTAGCTGTGTATTCGCTGGAAGAAAAAAGTCGCAAGCTTTAGGCACTCCCATTCATAAGCTGCTAGCAAATAAACGAGTTGTGGTTCCACCAAGATTTTTGATCTTCTAAGGTGCCTTCTTCACTCTGTCAAGAGAAAAACTTCAGCCACGGCCTAGATTGCCGAAAATTCCTTGAAGACTGGTGAACGAGAAAGCCCATACATTCGGGAGTGCTGATTCAGCAAATATTGCTCACACGTGATCTTGTCCTACCCCTGCTGAGCTACAAGCAAAGCTGCAAACATGACAAAAGTTTTCCAGATGACATGATGCAAAGTGTAGCTATACAGTATGTAACTCTGAGTGTTAGAGAACTATATTTATGGGGAAATCGGAATCCACAACTGTTATTGGCCCCTCTCGGCTTAACATCAAAACATGATAGCCTTGTACATTTCCCATAACATCTACCATATATACATCATCTATAAACATTCATTCCTTACACATGAAGTGCACTCAAAATAACCAGGGAGCTTAGTCGGAGCTACAATATGTGAAGGATGAGGCATCTTCTCCACTTGGTTTTAGTTGGAGCATTTTCCACCTGCCATTTGCATGTTGGAGACTCTCAGTGTGATGGTAAGATTGATATTCCAGCCCATAAGGCAGTGTTGGCAAATTTTTTACAAATCTCAGCTGTGAGGCTAGCAGCAGCAGTACATGAGACACTGAGTCCATTATTGAGTGAAATGAAGGATGACCTGGCTGAAGTCAAGACTGAAATGAGGGAAAGTCTGGCTGCTGTTAGAGCAATCGAGCAAAATCTGAAAGAAGAGTTCAAGAAGATGAGTGATTTCAACATGGCCCATCATGGATGCGAGTGTGGGGGTAGCTACTGGAGGTTGGAGACGTGTGGTCAACCTGAATATGACAGACCCCAACACTAACTGTCCCTCTGGCTGGAATCTTACTAGTTACTCCAAGAGAACATGCGGTAAAACTAACACCAGCAGTCTCTCTTGCGACTCTGTCTTCTTTCCCGTCAGTGGAGGAGACTAGTGTGGCTCTATCAGGGCCTACCAGAGTCGGGGGATAGATGCATTCGAGCCCTATGACGATGGAGATGTGACCACAATAGAAGGAGCCTATGTGTTAGGTGTCAGTCTCACACATGGCAGCCCAAGACGACATATCTGGACATTTGCAGCTGGTATTACTGAGGACCGACCTACTTGGGAAGATGCCTGTCCCTGTGATGCTAGCATAAACACTACCATCCCACCGTTTGTGGGTGGAGACTATTTATGTGAATCAGGAGTCAACTTTGGGTCGAGTGCAGGATTTCATCCAGATGATCCTCTCTGGGATGGAGAAGATTGCAGTGAGGGCAGTAGCTGTTGCTCATTCAACAACCCTCCATACTTCACTAAGACACTCCCCAGCTCCACCTCTGACCCCATAGAGGCCAGACTGTCTTGATTGGATAATGCTGATGATTCTCCAGTTGAGTTCATGGACCTCTACGTCAAGTAGTGTGCTTACATTAAAACTAAGACGATGAGTAGAGAACTTTAGCCCCTTAGTTCTACCTAAAAATAGTGTCTAGACTACATTACATACTAATTACTTTTATACATCACATTCGAACGGCAGTCACTTTCGTAATTAAATTCCAGCAATGGCGTAGACATCAACCAGACTCTTCCTGTGCTGTTTCGTGTCCTGTGCATGCACACACAAGACAGGGGCTGGGAACCAGACTATATAAGTGTAACATTACCTGGCTGTTAGGAAACAGGAGATGGAGTTGCCAGACACGACCAGCCACACTCCGGGTGGACTGCAATATCCCACCACCTTGCCTCCTCCTCTACCACCTCCACACTCGCCTTTCCTACAAACACAGGGTCATAATGACACTAACATCTATGCACTGATTACAAAATATTACGTTTTGAGTGTTATCCTGCGTGTTATGCTGCAAAGGTCTAATGAGATGGCATCGGTTTGTGGCAGAGGTTCAAAAGACAGAGATGGTTGCTTAGTAGCTGTCCCCTCTGCATTTCGTCTTTTGAGTATTGTAGGTGGGGAAGTGTGGGTGAGTTTCCTCTTCACCTAGATTAGATATACAATATAGAATAGAGAGGGCTGCTGTAGACATGAATTGCCTTTCTCTTGTAATAAAACCCCTACCAGCTGAGTTACCCTGGTAGCTCAGTTGGTAGAGCGCTTGCCTAGACAGCAGAATATCGTGGGTTCGAATCCTACCCAGGGCAGCTCTTCTTTTCCTTGGAATAAAAGAGCTGTCCTGGGTGTAGTTGATTTGTTTGCCTTTGCCTTGCTACCTCATTTCGTTTGTTGAAAATACATGGAGTGTATATATCGTCTCATAGGGAGAGAGGACTTGATGCAGATTGTTAGCTTGTCTCTAGAGGCATGCTCCCTATCAAGCTGGGGCTGGAGCAATTTCACTGGCTGCATAGAACAACGAAGGTAAAATGCTTTTATACCTGCACCGGTTGATCATTCTCGTCTTGTAAAGAAAGATTTGTATTCTTTGGGTTTGAAGGATGCGCTCCTGATGAATCAGCCTCTTTCCTCTGATCTTGTTCACGGTGGGACAGAGTCTTATCCAGCTGTTGCAGGACTTCTGAACCGTCCTTTGAGACATTTTCCACTGCTGCTTCAGGAGAAGGTGAGTAGAGTTGAGACAGCAGAGATGTGAGGGTTGAACACACAAAATCCTACGGAAAAAAACCTCAAACCAACAACAGCCTGGGGAGCGGAATATGTGAATACACCTGATGTCCAGAGCCCAGCACATGCACTGAAAGAGGTTCTATAGACTTGCTAAAATCCATAGTATGTATAGGTAAGCGACATTGTTAAAATGAAAACTCCAGATTAGGTTTTTTTTTGCACCTAAAGTTATAGCATGATTTCAATCTCACAAGGTCGGTGAGAAGGACAGAGGTCTTGCTGGGGTCAAGGTTGACATCAAGAGCGGAAGGAGGGACGTCCAGATGGAGTACAGCCACTGGGCTACGACCAGACTGGGAGGGAAAAGCATCTGCAAGACTTTGCCTCAAAATCTGGTAAAGACATATGGTAGAGGATAGTAGCACAATCGACAGAAACAAAAGTCAGACCTAGCTAGTAGTGGGATTAAAACCTTGTAGTTTCTTTCCGACTAAGCAGGCCCCGCTTCCTACAATGTTAGTCCATTGTGAGGTTTTTTTGCCTGTATGCACAATACCACATTCGTACAGAGCTAATATTAATAAGGCTACTAAGACAGGTTATTCCATGTAGCAAATATACACTTCACTTCTATACACTTTCTCTATAGGAGAAATACATGTGTATAAACTTCATTAATGTCCAAACCTGGGTGACTTGCTTGATAGCTACTGGTCTGTTGTTGACAAAGACAAAGAGCCTGTCTGGAGCTGATCGTGACACCACAGCACCGTCACCAGGACATGGGACGTAGCCTCGCAGTTTCAGGATAGGGTCTCGACTGCTGAACGAGATGGGGGTCAAGTGTTGGGTGATCGAGGGCCCCAGAACGAGGGAGAGGTTTGAGTCGTAGTCTTGACTGGGGATTTTCTGCCACAGGAGACACTTGTTGTGCTTTAGAATAAGTCTCACTCTCGGGTGAGCGATACCAAATGCCAGCAAGGTGTCTTCCATCCTCTTAAGATCCTCCCGGCAGCGTTTGGCACTCTTCAGAATCTGTCGTCTGACGGGGACACTCTTGAACAAACCAGTCACACAGACGGTCATCCCTTGCCCCATGGCAACATGTTTAAATGACACGCTGTTTCCCATGGAGTCAAAGTCATACTGACGACCTGCACCTTCATCATTAGAACAGAGAGTGGAGATTCGGAGGTGAGCTATTGAGGCAATTGACGACAGGGCCTCCCCACGAAAACCGTAGCTTTGGAGCTCACAGAGGTCGCTGAAGGAGGTGATCTTTGAAGTGTAGTGCGGACGTGCAACGTGAAGAACTTCAGCTTTGCCGATCCCAGAGCCATTATCACACACCTCCACCATATCCAGGCCAAAGTTCTCCTGTACACAAGGCATATGAAGAGAGAAAAACACAAACGTGGATATTTAGGATTGGTAGTGCAAATAAGTTCATGTTCTCCCACGAAAACTGCAGGGCGATAGCTATACAAAATACCCAAGGATTACTAACTGGGAAGAAACTTATTGAAGGTCGGAAAGGCATTAGTTCACCTATCACCTATGCCCCGACCCTCTCGCTTTAATGCACCATATTATATACATCAGCTATAGGTTCTAGGCAGAATCTCACAAGCTTGACTTCTATGTTTGTTGCCCCAGCATCTAGGGAGTTCTCCACCAGCTCCTTGACTACAGCCTGCCCAGAGGAGATGGTCTGGGACCCGGCCAGGAGGCGAACTGTTTCCCCGTCCAGCTGTTGCATGGCATGAGGTAGCCTCATTGCCATGCCTTCCGCGATCGAGAGAGAGCTCTGGAGAGAAGGGGCCTGGTGTACACTGTTCGCGCATGCGCAGAATATTCTGGGACTTCTGTATCACGTTCGGATTTCTCCGTCTACTTGACGTCATCATTAATTTTGTACTCTCGCTACAAGGTTAGCAACCGCCGCTCGACTGGCAAGCAGAGGGGGCAGTACTTACAGCGGTACCTGAAACGCGCAGACCTCACGTTTATGAACGACTCGCCGATTAACAACACCGCGCGCCGACACGGGCTCAGTGACGAAATTTGGCTCATGCGTACATATACCGGACGCGCCCACCCAAATTTTCCCAATATCACGTGATTCTGCGCATGCGCAAACAGTGTGCTCACCAAGCCTTCTTTTCGGAAGGCCTGTGTAATAGTAGGTGGGCATAATTATAGGCTATGTCTGTTGCGATAGTCTTTTTGGCGGGTGACTATGCTAATTGTGGCATTGTGTCTCAATGGTCACAATGGCTGCCGTGTCCCAATCATCAAGCAGATCGGAATACTCCATCCTCTACAGGATCAAGTGTGTCATTCGACAGCCGTATCTTGTGGTGTAATGAAGAGTAGTCTCTAGCTATTTCCATCGGAATAGTCGTGCTTTCGGTATGGTATGCGCCGAAAAGCGCCCACTGCTCAAGTAGCAGATTATCGGGAGTCTTGAAGACGCATAATATGAAACATAGATAGGACCAATGAGTTATTTCTTGTGTGTTTTGAAGGCTAGCTATGTGTTTCCTGCCGAGTTCCTGTACGCGGATTACGTCAGAAACTCCGTCGGGCGGCCTTCGAGCTTCTCGCACGTCAAGTCCAGCGGGTTCTCGGTCGGAAAGGAAGCAGGCGCTGAAATAAGCGTACAATTTCCAGATCTGATGCTGATCTGACGTATATATATATACCATGAATAAACACTGCCGCAGCCGTAGAAAGATCTATGCGCGTGGGCTTGGGGTTAAATTTTAGATGCTCTCTGCACATGCGTGACAAGATTTTGGTCTGCACACGCCCGGCCGTCATTAAACCCTCGGCGCGCATGCGCAGCGAGGGTTCGGTAGTCATTCTGTGTGCCTGTGTGTGTCTGTCAACAACTATTCTCGCACTACAGACTACGAGGCGGCTAATGAGCGATACCAACAGCTTTAGCAGTACATGAGCTAGAAAATAAAATGGCGATTTTGCTGAAACGACTGCGTTCGAGAGCGACAAACTAGCATGGTCGTGGAAAGCGTTGCGTGGCCCCACCCATCAATAAGCGGTGCGCATGCGTGTATTAGACGCGATCGACGCAGTGTGCTGACCTGATCCGCTTGCTCTGTGGACCTTGGAGGCACATGAAGCCACAGTGAAGGGTGTGTATCGGCTCCCGCATGCTATCTACTACTGTAGCTAGCCCTTTGGCTTGTCAGACTCTCCGCGAGCTACTAGCGGGAGATCACGACCAATAGCCTAGCCCAGCCCATCTATTAGCGGCATCGCGCATGCGCAGTTCGCCGAGGGTTTGCACTAGTGCTGTTCGTGTTCCAACTTTTGCGGATTATCGTACTCTTGGGTCCCCGAAGAGCGATAGCTATATCGACGGTGATTTGCTATACGTTTTTCCTTCATTTCCAGAGACGGAGACTTATTCAGAGCGGTGGAGGCCTTTGCAACGAAAGGTATATATTTGCTGGTACGACTAGCAGCTATAGCTATCTGTACGCGTTACTGCAACACCACGTCTTTGTATTATATTTAGGGCGGCCAAACTTTGGGATTTGGGGTTGAAAGCGGACACTGTTATTTACCAAGCGAAAGGCGATAATTTGACCCCACCCCAAAACGCTACGGAATGTGTGTGCGCGCGTGCACAGCGGAGGTGCTGCAACTACATCGTGCGGTAGAGCCGCTAAAACTGCCTACGGAGCTATAGCCTCAATTTCAGACCTGAAAACGATGCTAGTTATGACGTGTGCCTACCATGTGAACAGCAGAAGGAAGCCATTAGCCAGCTCAACTACCACTTGTCTTACTTCGGAATTTGTATGAGTAGCTAGCCTAGCTGGCGAAAAGGAAGATTGGTTCTGTTATTTGCCAAATGCTTTCGTCATTGCTAATGATCAAGAACTGGACATGTGATGCTGAGCTCTATCATCTTAGCTATAATTATACTACAGTGCAAGACTTTGAGTATGGTATTCGTTTCCAGTCACCTCCCCCTTTCTCGTCAACTTTATGGCCATGAATGATAAGTAGGCAGGCAATGTTTAACATTGATAGACACACCCTTCAAGTTGGCTTTAAGGTGCCTATACAAAAAGGAAGCTCTGTTGCCCTCCCACAACCAACAATTGATTCAAGGGGGCCCTGTTAATCCAGAAATGTTAGGGAAATCATAAGCACTCTTTCACACTATTGCACAGACACAAGGATTGAGCATTCAGACAATGAGGTTGCAATTAGGCAAAACAAGCAACAAAACTGCACCCAGGGCAGCTAAAATCGAGCAATCATGTGCTATCTTATAGCTGGTGACCATGTGAGAATTAGGATTGACAAGTTCATCGCTGATACGGTGAGAGTAAGAGATGTGGTACATCAAGCATGTAGCTACGCACTACTTAGATAGCGTTCTTGGGTTTTGCTCTGAGGTATGACAAGTGTTCAAATCCATATCATAGGACCTCAATGCACTTTATCCCCTTCTATACAAGAGCAAAGCTATATATATTTATTGCTACTCTCCTCCCCCTTTCTTGTCTACTTTACGACCATGCATGATAAGTCGGTAAGGCAATGTTTAGATACACCCTTAGGGCTAAGTGCATAAGGGAAGGCGAGGGTTTGCTTGAAGGGGATAGAAAGGTGGAAGTTAGCGTAGTAAGACTTCCCTAGGTGACTTCTAGCCTCGTTTCCAGGTCTGAAAACGAGGCTAGTTGAGGCTTTCATTGAGCTCCGCTCCCAAATGTGGCAGCCCTGCTGTTACAAAAAAGGCGTGATTGTACAGGGAGTATTGAATCAGGGGCACTTGACACTTGCATCGACCTTCAAACTATTATCTGCAAACCTTGCTTGCTTATGATGCGTAAGGTGTACTAGCACGATAGCTCCATGTACTACAAAACTTTTGTTGTGATGACGTGTGCTTTTTCCTTCAACTATGTAAACAGCAAAAGGCAGCCATTAGCCAGCTCAACTACCACTTGTCTTACTTCGGAGAAAAAATGTATGAGTAGTTACGAGGAAAATTGGCTCTGTTTTCTGCCTAGTGCTTGCATCATTGCTAAAAATCAAGAACTTGACATGTGATGCAAAGCTTTTTCATGTTACTCCAATGCAAGACTTGAAGCGTGGTATTCATTTTCAGTCACCTCCCCCTTTCTCGTCAACTTTATGGCCATGAATGATAAGTACGCAGGCAATGTTTAAGATTGGTAGACACACCCATCAAGTTGGCTTTAAGGTATACGAAAGGGAAGCTCTGTTGGCCTCCCACAACAAGGTATTGATTCAAGGGGGCCCTGTTAATCCAGAAATGTTAGGGAAATCATAAGCACTCTTTCACACTATTGCACAGACACAAGGATTCAGACAATTAGGTCGCAAGTATAGGCAAGGCAAGCCACAAAACTGCACCCAAGGCAGCTAAAATCGAGTAAAAAATGTGTTAGGTTATAGATGGTGAGCATAATTAGGAGTGACAAGTTCATGCCTGATATATACAGTGAGAGTAAGAGATGTGGTACATAAAGCATGTACGCACTACTCAGACAGGGTTCTAATGAATCAACCTTTCTTCTGAAGGCCCAAGGACCTCAATACACTTTAATCGCCTTCTGTACGAGAGCAAAAGCTATAGATAATCATTCCTACTCACCTCCCACTTTCTTGTCAACTTTATGACAATGCATGATAAGTAGGTAGCTAAGGTAGATACACCCTTAGGGCTATGTGCATAAGGAAGGCTAGGGTTTTCTTCAAGGGTATAGAGAGGGGGATGTTGAGGTAGTAAGGCTTCCCAAGGTGTATTCTAGCCTCGTTTCACCCCTGATGCATAAACTTGCAGTGCAACAACGTGTGCTTCCTAAAGTAGCCTAGACAGCCACTTGCAGCAATAACATGTGTATTGCTGAACCCTGCTTCTGAAGGTAGCTACAACAGTATGAACAGGCTTCCTGGCGTATTATCCTAAATAGCAAAGTTAATTCCTTAAAAGAGGCAGTTGAAGTTTGCTTTCTAATCTACACAAAAAAGTGAATTTCGTACGCCTTCTGATTATCCAGCATAGTCATGTTGGAAGAACCAGACTTTGAAATTGACATTTCAACCAGGGACTTTGCACAGGATGAGAGCCCGCTCACAAGACGAGAAATAAACCTCAGAAAAACGTTTGGCTACAGAAGAGTACTGATCCAACCCTCAGAGGAAATCGGTCACGGCTCATATGGAAGGGTCATAAAAGCTAAGCTTGACGGTCTTCCTTGTGCCGCCAAACTCCTTCACCACATCTTCTTCACCTCAAATGATCCGAATTTTGCCGACTTCATTCGACGCTTCAAGCAGGAGTGCCGGATCCTGCGTCACCTGAAGCATCCGTGCATCATGCAGTTCCTGGGGGTCCTGGAAGACCCTCGACCTCGCAGCAACCGCAGACCGATTCTCCTCATGGAACTGATGGAGCAGAGCCTCACTGCCTTCCTAGAGAGCCAACAGAGAGCTCTCCCATATCATGTCCAGGTGAACATCACCTACGACATCACTCTGGCCCTCGATTACCTTCACGGCAACGGTATTCAACACCGCGACCTTTCCAGCAACAACATTCTTCTCACTGCTGGTTCCCGGGCCAAGCTGACCGACTTTTGAATGTCCAAGATGGTCGACCTTAATCCCCGCATGAGCAGAAATAATACGCTCACAGAATGTCCCGGTACACTTGCCTACATGCCTCCCGAGGCACTGGTCAAAGGGCCAGCTTATTCCGACAAGATTGATGTGTTCTCCACTGGAGTTCTCATCGTTCAAATCATCACTCGCACCTTTCCTAATCCGACCGATCCTCATAGAAAAGTGGAAGATTCGAAGTACGGAGGCTCTATTCTAATCCCAGTAACGGAGCTAGAACGACATAAGGATGACCTTAAAAGAGTTTTTATGACTCACCCACTTCGCCCAATAGCCTTAGAATGCCTCAAAGATAGAGAGAAAGAAAGGCCTCCTGCAGGTAACCTCTGCCGGAGATTGGCACAACTGAGGGCAACTCCAGAGTATGGAGACAGCAAGTGCCAGTACAACCAACAGGTGGTTGAACTGCCACCAACCCCTTCCGCACTGAGGATGAGGGACACAGAGATAGCAGTGCTGGATGGACACATTGAAGCTCTCAATCGGGAGAAGAGAAGGTCCTGGGCGGAATCTTCCGGAAGAAAACTGAAAGAAAGTTTGATGAGGAGATAGCAGAGCTCCACGTAGAGAAGCAACCACTGGTCTCGGAGAAAGATAGGGAAGAGGAGGAGGAACGAAGGAAAGCAGAGTACAAGAATGAAAATGACCGTTTGAAGAAAAGAGTTGATCAAGTAGAGACAGAAAATGCAAAAGTGCTCTCTGAGAGTGCTAGGCTCAAGAGGTATATTGAAGAACTAGAGAAGGAGAAAGCTGTGGCCGCATCAGAGAAAGCTGAACTTCAAGAGAAGCTTGTGGAATTGAACCGGATCGTCAAAACACATCTGCAGCAAACCAGTACCTCGGAAGAAAGGGAAATGGATCAAAATCAGGAAGGAAATCTTAAGGTATATATGAGTTTATAAAAACGTGGCACAATGTTAATTAATCCTCTCTAAACTCTAGCGGTGGGTCTCTCTTCCTTCACTGAAGTTGGGAGAAGGTGAAGGTATGTATTTACTGAGCATGTTGGCTGATATATAGATGTTAAGTCATAACAACACTATACAGAAGATAAAGAGCTAATGGTTGCAGAGAAAGATATGTCAAAAACAAAAGTGTTACGACTCAACCTCAGTGAGATCTACCAGTACCTCAATGCCAAGTCCATACTCCATGAGATGGTGGAGAGAAAGCTCATCACATCACAACAGAAGGGAAATGCAGAGGCATACAGCTCTGCATATGCACAGAATATTTCAGCTGGAGTTGCTCTGTTTGAGACGGGAAGCTCACCTACAGTTGCACTAGATCTGTGCACTATCCTAGAGGCAACTGACTTCCAAGGAGGGAAAAAATTGGCAATGAAACTCACATCAGGTAGGGTTGTCTAATATACTGCTTGTAATTAGTGTAACAAAGTTTCTCCTTCTAGACCATGATAACATCAGTGCAATAAAGAAAAAACAGGTTATGCAGAGGTTTTACCCACCACCTACCACCACCCCACCATCGGAGCTGAAAGTATCAGATCTTCAGAGTCAGTTCTTACAGACACTAGCAGCAGTGATGGAGGCATTTGAGCAGCTTCCTGACTCCCTCTCTCGTCTGAAACAGTTCTTCAGTCGACTAGTGCTGCCAATGGGAGAGGGAAAAGTCATCCCAATAGTCAACCGAAGCACATATAAGAATGCTGCCTCAACAGAAGAGATGTTAAGATGCCAGCCTAGTCCCTGGAACTGCTTCAGTCCCCACCTCCTCATGATGATGTCAGTGGAATGCCAGTGTCCTCAAGCCATTGAACCAGTGGAGCAGTTCCTCCAATATCGCAGCAAGTGTGCCTCTTCCCTGATTTGTCGACGGACGAAGTTACTGACAAAAGCAAGCAACATGACCACTTCCCACAGTCCGTCCCACCTGGCCTGCCACACTGCTCCCGTCAACGACCTGCAGTCTCTTCATCCCAGTGTGTTTGATGAGCGAAAGAATCCAGAGCGTCTGCAGACCATCAGAGTCACAGTCCAGGTTGATCGACCTCACCTCACTCTCCAGGACTATGATGACATCACTACTGCTGTCTGTGGCTTCTTTCACATCCCCCGAGTAGCTCTAGTGTATGCAGGTTGTTCTGAGGATGGCCAGGTGGTCAGCTGGAACATGTCCACTGCTCTACTGCCTTACTTGAAGAGAGCTAGTTCTGGTGTGAGCTCTGATCGACTAATGGCAGAGCAAAGGATACTTGGAGTAGCAGCTGGAGACCTACAATACCACTGTCTCAGTGTGAAAGTGATCATTATTTCATGTTTATAGCTGCTGAAACACTTGTTCTGTTTCAGGAGGTGGAGTTATTTGAAGCAGCGTTCTATGGATTGGAAAAAAGAGTTCAGAGCCTTATTCTGCAAAAAGTCTCCATAAATTGTGTGGATAAGGTCAGGAGAATTTTGTAAGTCAACATCCCGACTAAGGGGTAGGGATGCACGTACGTATGAGAATGTCTCCCTTCGACTTTCAACAGTCTATGCTAGGGATTTCTGTGTGTTGATATTCTTAATGTCCAGGATGGCAGGACTCCTCTCTACATTGCCAGTCGGAAAGCACATGGAGCAGTTGTTAAACTACTACTTCAACAACATGCTGATGTCAGAATATGTAAGAAGGTAATGTGGCTCCCTAGATCATCCATGTGTATCTATGACTTTAGGATATTACTCTAGAATGGATGGACTCCACTAATGGCAGCATCATTCAATGGACATACTGATGTTGTACAAACACTGATTGAGGCTAAGGCACAGATCAACACACAGGAAGAGGTATGCTGTTCCTACCACCAGAAAACACACATCATGACACACAGTGAAGTTGTACTAGGTGAGGTGACTGTGTGTTTTTGTCCACAGAATGGCTGGACTGCTCTTCACCTAGCAGCTCAAGAAGGCAAAGTTGATGTGGTGAGACTATTGACTGAAGCTCAGGCTCTGGTCAACATACATACTGAGGTACACACACTGTCTGCCGCTCGTATTGTGTACCATAACTTACAGCAGTTATTATGTTTTTAAGGTGTTCACACAGAAATTTCCACTAGGGATTTCTCATGATAATGTGTGTCGATACATGTCCAGGATGGCAGGACTCCTCTCTACATTGCCAGTCGGAAAGCACATGGAGCAGTTGTTAAACTACTACTTCAACAACATGCTGATGCCAGCATCTGTAAGAAGGTAATGAGGCTCCATATATCCCATGTGTGTGTATCTATGACTTTAGGATGTTACTCTAGAATGGCTGGACTCCACTAATGGCAGCATCATTCAGTGGACATACTGATGTTGTACAAACACTGATTGAGGCTAAGGCACAGATCAACACACAGGAAGAGGTATATATGCTGTTCCTACCACCAGAAAACACACACCAAGACACACATTGAAGTTGTACTAGGTGAGGTGACTGTGTGTTTGTGTTCACAGAATGACTGGACTGCTCTTCACCTGGCAGCTCAAGAAGGCAAAGTTGATGTGGTGAGACTATTGACTGAAGCTCAGGCTCTGGTCAACATACAGACTGAGGTACACACACTGTCTACAACAAGAGTGTACAATAACAGCAGTGATACATGATTAACGTGTTCGCAAAGAAATCTCCACTAGGGATTCTCACGATAATGTTGATACATGTACAGGATGGCATGACTCCTCTCTACATTGCCAGTGATAAAGGACATGGAGCAGTTGTGAAACTACTACTTCAACAACATGCTGATGTCAGCATCTGTACAAAGGTAATGTGCCTCCCTAGATCCTCCATGTATTTCTATGACTTTATGATATTACTCTAGACTGGCTGGACTCCACTAATGACAGCGTCATTCAATGGACATACTGATGTTGTACGAACACTGATTGAGGCTAAGGCACAGATCAACACACAGAAAAAGGTATGCTGTTCCTATTACCAGAAAACACACTACACAATACATCATCATACACAGTGTCACTGTATACAGCTGTATACTAGGTGAAGTGACTGTGTGTTTGTGTCCACAGGATGACGTGACTGCTCTTCACCTGGCATCTGCAGAAGGCAAAGTTGATGTGGTGAGACTACTGACTGAAGCTCAGGCTCTGGTCAACTTACAGACTAAGGTTAATCATTATGAGATTATCAGATGACAGCATTATGACACTATCATTTGCAGTGGGGAAGAAGACCTATAGACATTGCCAGATCTAGAGGTCACTCTGAGATTGTTGAAATCCTACAGAAAATGTAGCACTTTTGGTGACATTAAAACCTGGAGACATAGCTTTACACAACTTTAGATGTTCCAATAATATCCATGCCACCCACTTTGTCAAAAGTATTATGGGAGTCTTGCAAAATGTTCATTAATACCATCCAAATTCACCTTCATCAAGTTTTCTGGACCACCTTTAACTCTTGTTTTCTCTGTTCTGACCCGTGTTCTTTCCATTATGTAGCTATGTCCATGTGCTAACTGTTTGTGTTCGTCCATAGTTGCAGTCATTCTCTATACCTCCTAGGACATCAGCATCTATCTGGTGTATTATACCTTCAGTACATGTCATCTCTAATGCCTCCATCTTCTCCACTTTCTTGTTTGCTACCATTATCATGTACTGTAAAGGATAATAATAATAATAATAATAATCAAAAATTTTTTGCCATTATGTCATCGTAATATTTTAAGCTATGATGGAGTGTGTCTTCAATTAAAGAGCACCATGATAATGTGCAGTAGTGTCGAGTAGTAAACTTAATGTCTGATGCTGTTTTACAATGATGACCCGTGGTATTTTATGCAAGTGTATTAGCACAATTTCATGATGCACAGTAAAAAAAAGGAGGGAGAGAAGTAAATAAAATTTCTTCCAATTAAAACAATGCGGTATATAGGGATGCCATAAAAAGTAAGGAGACAAGACAGGGATGACCTAGTGAACGTGATGCAGTCGTACAATGGATGATGGCTACATACTTTGAACTGATATCGCTTGCTCGTGTAAAATTTCCTCCGAAGTGCGAGTGTGCTCCCTTGTATGATGCACAGCTATGATTTATTTTATAAGCACATTAGACAGGTAATACCATCTGCTCGGTTTTCAGTTGTGACTGCATTGTGTGGAGTCTATGACTTCTACATTTGCTCAACTAACCAGTTTTAAAATGCTGAGTTCGGGGCCATCTACACACAGAATCCTTTCACCATTGTCCTCGCACTTCATTTGCCCTCCCACTTCACTAAATAAACAGTAAAGGTGGCCCTCCAGAGAATCCCTTTACCATTGTCCTCATACTAAACAGTATGATGTTGCACATGTGGTTAGAGGACCAACCATAAGCAAGTTAGAAGCACAAACACCATTTACACGTTTTTATTGTCTGAGGCTGTTTGTTGTTGTTTACACACTTGTAGTTTCTGAAAAACAGAGTAACAGTGACACAGTTACCAGATGTCGTCATACAATAACGTTATACGATGGCTTCAGTTTTGATATAGACAACTCAGGCTGCGCCCTCGTGCCATATCAAAACTTGCTGCTTCTGTACAACCAGTATATAGACTACACTGCCATCGTATAACATAATGCTGTAGAGCTACATGCCAACTGCTAGCAAGTATATAACACTATATCGTACCTATACTTGCTTGTAATTCCTGCTGCTGCTAGAGAACCAATCACCCTGGAAATGCTGGCTCATGGCTTATGCAACAAGTGGAAAAATCATTTCTTCAAAATGAAGGGGTGATATAGGGATGGCTTGAAGCACCAAAAAGGAAGAAACAAGGGGTCATTACACAGCAAAGATGCACCAAGCTACATGACACCATCCCTATATCTTTGTCTCATAGTAAACTTTACTTGTGAACTATATATATTATAACACAAAGATATAGGGATGGTGTCATGTAGCTTGGTGCATCTTTGCTGTGTAATGACCCCTTGTTTCTTCCTTTTTGGTGCTTCAAGCCATCCCTATATCACCCCTTCATTTTGAAGAAATGATTTTTCCACTTGTTTCCACTATTTTTCATGCCTTCTGCATTTTCAGTCACTCTGATGTTCATGGGTGTTGTAGAGATAACTGTTGAAAGCAGAAGCTAATGTACCTGAAGCAGGGTGTATGCGTAGTGTCTCCAACAACGATGCAATTAGGTTGTGGCACATATGGTGGGGTGGTTTCGTAGGCAGGCTTCAGTAATCAGACTACAATGATAGCTATAACCTGGGGGACAAACAATGAAGGCGCTGGGCAAGGCCCGCGTAACACGGCGCACACTGCCAAGTTGCTCCTCGTACAAATCAACAGCAAAACGTAAGCTAGCCAGTTAAAAATGTGTATACTGACTTACAGAAGGCACTGGAGGATAAGAGTTCCTCTGCAGGCATCCTGGCTTAGTCTCGTAGACCTGGTTCACGCACGAGACTATAGTAATGCGCGCGCACCGCATTGGGGAAACGCCCTCCTCGGCGCATGCGGCTCACTGATGCTGAGTTAGCAGCAAATGGCGTTGTCCAGTGACTACTGTGGAAGAGCTCAACGATCTACCCTAGTGACTTGCGGCAAGAAACAAGCGATCGCTTGATATGCGTGCACACCTCCGGCAAATTTGGAGACGTTCTGTGAAAAAAATGAACGCTTCAACTGCTTCCGGTAAGGAGCTAGCGGGTCTGAAGAAGAAGAAGAAGAAGAAGAGGAAGAGGAAGAGGAGGAGGAGGAGGAGGAGGAGGAGGAGGAGGAGATTACAGTGGCCGATAGGTGCCATGCCGATATTCATTCCGTTTTCCCATTCCATTTTCCAATTTCCAGCGATGTGTTCCAAATGCTGTTCTTGATTTCCGGTTTTCTAACCTGCGAGCTGGCAGCTAGGGATAAGAGAGTGGATAGCGTCTCGAAATCAGGGTGCATACCAGGGCGGGCGGGAGTTATATACCCTTACCCTAAACCCTGTGCGCTCGAGCGGACTTTACCAATCATGACGTGTCGCAACAGCAGCGCCGCGCCGCGGTCGCGGGCGTGGTTACGCCCCCTAGCAGTGAGTGACGGCTGTGGACGATCGTAGCCTCGTAGGCCGTTTTGCGGAGCATGGGAAGGAGGCTAGGATCTCCCTGGTGGTCCCAGTTCGCTCTCAGCGTGTAGCAGCGATTGTATTGGCGAGCACATCAACTCGTCCTCCCTTCGCTAGCGCAGGCCGCGGTGATAAACACGGAATGTGGAACGTAAAAATAGAATTTGGAATGGAAAACAGAAGTGTGAATGGAAAACGGAATGGAAATCGGCATGGCACCTATCGGCCACCGTAGAATATTATGATGATTATGATGACACGAAAATCGCGAAATCGCGTAAGTGTGAATTCTCTCGTGGGGAACTGAGGGCACGTAGGAAGTCTTGGAACATATGTATAGCAAGGTATTGGCCTCTGGTGAGTCATTGTCGCTGAGTTTTGAGGCGTTTTGTACGTGGATCACGTGAGATTTCACTCGCGTCATCCCTATAATTATTATAGAGCGTCTACCGACGCTCTGATAAAAAGTGCATGCCCCTTGGTTATAGCCAGTATCATACAGAGACAGTATAGTAAATTAAAAATCCTGCGAATTTAAAAAAAGGCCTATAGGGATGGTATAAAAAGAAAGGGAGACAAGATAGGGATGGGATACATGAAGCATGGAATGGACAGATTTTAGCACGCTGACACCCCCAACCTCATCACACAATCCCTATATTGTTGCTGGTGTGCTGGCATTAGCAAGTTTGAGAAGTGAATATGTAAAATGCCTGAGGCTCTTTGTTGTTGTTCAAATAATGTGTGGTTGTCATGGAAACAATGTCGTATGCAATCTGACCAAGTTTTATCTACACGAGTGCTACAGTTAACGAGTTTGAGGAGTGAAGAAGTAGTTTTAAAGAAAATGGCCTGAGGCTTTGTCAATCAATATTCTGTCGTCATGGAAATGATATAATAGGCATGCGTACCAAGTTCATCTCTATGCGTGCTACCATTGGAAAGTTTGAGAAGTGAAGAAGTAAATTTAAAGAAAAGTGCCTGAGGATATTTGTTGTTATTTACAAACATGTATGGTTGTGATTTTGATGTTGACTATTAAATACATTGTGTATACAAAGTTCCGTTAACACGATTTGTGAATTATACTGACACATGTGATCACATTATAAGGTATTGCCTGGGGCTATTTGTTTTTGTTTACAGAAAACAATGCTGTTTACAAATAAGTATGACCAGTCTCTTCGGGTAATGGATATCTACGTTCTTACGAAATTTCATTACTATACGTTATTTCGTTTTTGAGTTGTGGGTGTTGAATCTGAAGAAGAAGGAGAAGGAGAAGACGAACAAAATTCCCTATCATAGCCCCATACATCTATAATGCTAGGTACCATGCCCATCCCTATATACTAAGTACTACTGTACTTAGGATATGGCTGGCTATCAGCAAGGGGCATGCAGTTTGTCCATTGTTGAGATGAGGTCCTCTCTTAACCCTTAGCAAGCCACGGGCATATACTTGCCCGCAACTCGATCCGGGACCGTCCAGTTTCTCGCTCTCGAACGCAGTCCTTTCAGGAAAATTGCCATTTAGTAGGCTCTTGGTATCGCTAATAGGCCGCCTCGTAGCCTGTAGTGCCAGAATAAGCGTCGACACACAAACACACACACACAGACACACAGACAAACCAACTACTGTAACCCTCGCTGCACATGCGCGCCAAGGGTTAATAATTTGAAGTTGCACGTGTGATGTCATGGCTGCAGTAGGTGCCCAATAATGAATGGCCTTGAGCTCTAGCAAAGGACAGAGTCACTTATAAAATGTGATGTAGCTAAGAGGGTGGAAGAAATATTAGATTAATAGCAAGTGGCAAGTTGCCGTGGACAGAATAATGATTTGTACCACAGAAGCCCTAGAAAACAAAAGGGACCGCGCATGCGCTCCTATCATAACAGACATGGATCTCCATCTTGGGTGTCTACCTTCCCTGTCTAGACTTGGAGGTTGAGCTCTATCGCGACTCGCTGGTTGAGTTGGAGTGGGGGTTCACAGCAGTGGGATTGTTGCTGGTGACTTCAATGCCCACCTTGGCCCCATGTGGGGACCTAGAGCACACAAGAGCCCAAACGTCCAAGGTGTTCTACTCGGTGAAGTCCTTGATAGATGCAAACTCCATGCTTTGCTGCGTCCTTGGGTGAATACTTACCTCTCAGGGAACTCCAAGACCATCGTAGACTACATCCTGGCCGATGTCGAGGACTCTTGAATCCTGTGAAGTTCTCGAGAGCAGTGACCTGAATATATCAGATCACCCACCATGCACTGTCAGTGTCTCTCTCTCTTGCGACATACCCACCCAATTCGCAAACGATCAATTGGATAAGAATCGACTTGGCCAAGGCAGAACATCAGGGTCCATGCTCAATTTCTATAAAGAAGTACAGTGGAACCCCGCTTAACGGACACCTCTCTACAACGGACACAGCATTATAACGGACAAACTCGCAGGTCCCGATTATTTTATCATCATTATAGTTACAGTTTGTACCCGACAGGCTAAAGCCATCCACTCAAAGATCTAGAGGCAATGTTGACCACATTGGTAGAGAGATTGGGCATGTGGCATGGCTGGTT